GAGTTCTTCATCCTGAAGATTGACCATGGAAAGAAATTTCAGACATTGGAGGTCTATAGGAGTGGACACCTGCTTTTCCCCGTAAAAACTAGAAACAATTTAACTTGTACTATTTAAATATTTTGGCGCAAAACGATAACAAAATTGGATGATTTATACTTTTGATGAAACTTTGGGTAACTATCAATGTTTGGACAACTCCGTACGTGCTTGGCCGCGTGGCCTAATGGATAAGGCGTCCGACTTCGGATCGGAAGATTGGGGGTTCGAGTCCCTTCGTGGTCGTTTTAGTTATTTTGCAATCACGTTGACCTTTCTTGAAACGAAGTATAACAATAACAAAAGAAAAAGACAAAAGTACTTAGGTTGATCACAAAAAAGGAAAAAAAAAGGCTTCGCCTTTCGACTTGATAGACGATGGATTCTGCTTGTTTGTTTGTTTATTAGTTATTTCTAATTTTTTATTTTTGTTTTGTTTTCTTTTTGTTTTCTTTTTGTTTTCTTTTTGTTTTTCTACAATTATTCTTCATATTTATAATCCGCATACAATTTTTCGGTGATCTACTGGCTTTACTTTTTGATATTATGAGGACAATTCGAATGGTAAGCACTTCCACGAGTTGAAAGCTAATAGCAACAAATTACCAAAAAGAGTAACAAAATTGCTTTAACTTGGAAGCTTTCCACGAGAACTTTGGTGCTCCCTCAGTACTTTCTTTTTAACCGAACTCCAGCTATTTTCCTTAGTATTGGCTGTTCAGGCATAAGCTTAGGTATTTGTTACTTGGTCATATTGTATAAAAAAACTGGTTTTGTCCAAGTAACTTTGGAGAAGATAGATCGAAAAAGGACAATTTTTTATAGAAGTGCCCGATCATACCTACGGGGGAGGAAGAGAATAAGCAAAAGAATACTTTTCCAAGAGAATTTGAGCAAAAAATTGATTTCATGTTGTATAAAGTTTCTCTTTCTACCTCTATTAAGGCAATTAACCGTTAATTCTCTTTTAATTTTTTTATTTTCTCTCTCTCCTTTTCCTTTTGTCTTTTTCGTTCTAATTATCCGTTAGGCCACGCGGCCGTTCGGATAGATCTAGAGTTCTGTAACGATAAAACGTTGACCTGTCTGCTCATTGGACAGGGATAGAATACTGTCGTAATATTGTATGGATATAACGACAATATATATGCCATTGACACATCAGGTCATTAAAGCATTAATTGTGAAACTATAACAAGTAAAAATGAAGGTTACATGTCTCTCTTAGTCAGGACTTGTTGTCCTGTTAATATTTTTTAGTTCAAATAAAATATCTAATTCAATACGATGTCAGTATTACACCGCGATGAGTTCTTCATCCTGAAGATCAATCATAGAAAGAAATTTCAGACATTGGAGGTCTATAGGAGTGGACACCTGCTTTTCCCCGTAAAAACTAGAAACAATTTAACTTGTACTATTTAAATATTTTGGCGCAAAACGATAACAAAATTGGATGATTTATATTTTTGATGAAACTTTGGGTAACTATCAATGTTTGGACAACTCCGTACGTGCTTGGCCGCGTGGCCTAATGGATAAGGCGTCCGACTTCGGATCGGAAGATTGGGGGTTCGAGTCCCTTCGTGGTCGTTTTTGTCATTTTGCAATCATGTTGCCCTTTCTTGAAACGGAGTGTAGAAATAACAAAAAAAGAAGACAAAAATACTTAGGCTGATCACAAAAAAGAAAAAGAACGACTTCGCCTTTCGATGTGATAGACCACGGATCCTGTTTGTTTGTTTGTTCGTTCATTAGCTGTTTTTTTTTGTTTTTTTTTGTTTTGTTTTTCTACAATTATTCTTCATATCTAGAATCCGCCAACAATTTCTCGGTGATCAACTGGCTTTACTATTTGACATTATGAGGAGAATTCGAATGGTAAACACTTCCATGAGTTGAAACAATTTATGAGCAGATGAGCAAGATTGAACGGGAATTTAGTGAACCAGCTATTCTTGTTGAATATTTATCTACATCGTCGTTGATCTAAAGGTTTGCTGCATCTAACGAAGTAAGGTTCAATGAGGCTGGTTAGGATCAAGGTTGCAAATGCCTACTTTACGGAAGGTCTCTAGAGCATGATAATTGCTGTTTGTGCAGCAACTCAGTTTCCAGTACTTAAAATTAAAGCGTCAAAGCTGCCATTGTTACTTGAAGCACAGTTTTGCCCATCAGCATATCCGGGGAATAAGTCAACTCTTTACTTCCAAGAAACGAGGAGAGCTTTCCAAAAATCATATTCCGGTGGAGTTTGTGCACTCTGTAGACCAAAAGGATTTCGGACAACACGTTCAACTAACTTATCACAGATTTTGAACCTAAAGATTGTTTCATGTAATTTTTCCACTTGAAGAACCTCCCGATTAAAAAGCTTTTGAAATAGGCGATTTTCAGAAAAGAACTCGATAATTTTTCTAAAAATACGAAACACCATTTTCTTTGGTTGAAATTATTTATCAAACCCTCATTTCCCCACCCCGGGAGGCGAGAGAAAGAGTGACCTTTGGAACAAAGTTGGAGTGTCTAGCAACTACATGTTATTAAAGAAACAAACACAAGCGCTCAAAATATAAACAACCACGCACGAACTGTTATAAAATGTGCACCATTCCGGCTACGAAGTCGCGGATTTAAGATCAATACAAGTTTTCTTCGAAAGTGCCTGTTCTTGAAGCAAGTGATTATCTCAAGATATCCTGCCGCTGTGAATACAACTCGTTGTATCGTACGCGCCGGCTAGTGTCACCCGAGGGCATGCTGAAATGCGACGCGGAAAGATCCTGGGTACTAAGTAATTTTCCAGGAACACTGGTAAGTCGATACCACAGTGCAAAGATTTGCAAAGCGCGTTGAGTGTCACATGTTCTCTGGTGCTGTTTTTCTCATCCTCCTGAAACAAGGATTACGAGCTCAATAAATCGCACTCGAGCTTATATTTAACACTGTATTTATTCAAAGTCCTTTGAGAACTTCTGAAGCAAACGCAAAAAAATTGTTTCAGTCACCATATCTAAGGAATATAGTAACTTATCTACGCAGTTTTGATAAATCAGTGATTTGCTATTCGAAAAGAAATTTTTATTAGGAATAGACGGGACGTGCTAGCATTGCTTCGAAAGTATTGATTAAACTTTGCATGGACGCGCTTTGATGTTCATGCACTGATGTAGGGGTGGTCCACCAAGGCAGCTATGGCCACGATTTTGATTTGTAAGTAAAATTCAGCGTCAAAAATGTTTCTGAAGGAAGTGAGTGAATAATATGAATGGTCACTTAACATTGTGTAGTTTGGATAACGGCGACGGCGGGGTGCTTGGACTTCCTTCCGTACCCGCCTTCTACCGATTTGGCTGAAGTTCCATCGCTTCTTCGTTCCACGTTTCAAACACCCTTTCGCAAGGATTGGCAATGGCGCCTGGAGCCCTAAGGCTTAGTTCTTCAAAAATTGTACATTTTTGAGCGAGACAATTTTGAGAGCCCCCTGGATCCTTTACGAGAACAACATATTCTTCATTGCTTTCTAGGAATTTTACAATATCAAATTAGCTTGAGCACAAACACGTTTACTTTGTCACGGATAAAGTGCATTGGCTATGGGTGAATGGAATAGAATATGAACCTGACAGCTAGCTGTCCCTGGAGGCATGTTCTGTCGAAACCTCGAAGTTTCCGAAAGCCATGCAGTTGGTCTCTGGATTTATTTGTACTTTGATCGTTGCCTAACTTTCGCTACTGACAACTTGATTCGTAGAATTTTCCTTTTTTGTGATCACGGTTCCAAAGTATATCTGTCTTTTTCTATTGTTATTCTACGCTCCTTTTCAAGAAATTAAAGGACAACATGATTGATTAAATTATATTAACGACCACAAAGGGACTCGAATCCCCAATCTTCCGATCCGAAGTGGGACGCCTTATCCGTTAGACCACACGCCTCTCCTTGTTCCGTGAATCGCTTTCACCTGACACATCGATTCATTAGAACGTAAATTGCGCAACTATAATAAGAATACGTTACTCTCGGTGACGACTTTTTGTCCTTCAAGATCATTTTTCTAAAGCCTACTCTTTCATAATGTATCCTTTAACGTTCATGGTTAGATGTTCCCAAAGGCCAATAGAAGGTGTAGAGGCAGGGAACTTTCATAACGGGTGAGGAGAACTTTAGTATCTTAGGGAACTTTTCGGAAACTTTTGGGTTTGGGGTTGTGGAAAGTGGTAAGCCAATAGCAACAAATTACCAAAAAGAGTAACAAAATTGCTTTAACTTGGAAGCTTTCCACGAGAACTTTGGTGCTCCCTCAGTACTTTCTTTTTAATCAAACTACAGCTATTTTCCGTAGTATGGGCTGTTCAGGCATAATCACAGGTATTTGTAACTTGGCCACATTGTATAAACTGGTTTTGTCCACGCAACTTTGGAGAAGATAGATCGAAAAAGGATAATTTTTCATACAAGTGCCCGATCATACCTATCGGGGAGGAAGAGAATAAGCAGAAGAATACTATCCAAGAGAACTTGAGCAAAAATTTTTTTTTTTTTATATTGTATAAAATTTCTCTTTCTACCTCAATATATTAAGACAATTAACCGTTAATTCTCTGTTAATTTTATTTTCCCTCTCTCCTTTTCCTTTTTTTCGTTCTAATTCCATTAAATCATAGTGATAATCAATAAGGAAATCCTAGTCGAACTTAAAAGGTTAACTGATTTACAAAGGTAACCGACCACGAAGGGATTCGAACTCCTTATCCATTAGGCCACGCGGCCGTTCAGATGAGTACTGCGTTCTGTAACGATAAAACCTTGACCTTTCTGCTCATTAGACAGCGATAGAAAACTGTCATAATATTGTATGGATATAACGACAACATATATGCCATTGACACATCAGGTCATTAAAGCACTAATTACGAAACTATAACAAGTAAAAATGAAGGTTACATGCTTCTCTTAGTGAAGACTTGTTGCATTGTCCTGTTGGTATTTTTTAGTTGAAATAAAATATCTAATTCAATACCATCTCACTATTACACCGCGATGAGTTCTTCATCCTGAAGATTGATCATGGAAAGAAATTTCAGACATTGGAGGTCTATAAGAGTTGACACCTGCTTTTCCCCGCAAAAATTAGAAACAATTTAACTTGTACTACCTAAATATTTTGGCCTAAAACGATAACAAACTTGGATGATTTATAGTTTTTGGATGAAACTTTGGTCAACTATTTACAACTAACCGTAAGTTTTATGGTTGGCCGCGTGGCCTAATGGATAAGGCGTCCGACTTCGGATCGGAAGATTGGGGGTTCGAGTCCCTTCGTGGTCGTTTCTTTTGGTCCAACCTCATTTTTTCCTCTTAAACCGAAGTGTAAATTATAAAAAGAGAAATATACCACCACTGATCACAGAAAAAGAAAAGAAAAGTTGGCTTCTCCAAGTGATAGAAGATGGATCTCGTTTGTATGTTTGTCCATGTATTTGTTTGTTGTTATTTTTTCAACATTTTTTTAAAAGTAGAATTCGCAAGGGAACGATGGACACCAACTTCAGTTCTCAATGATAAATTGGCTTGATTCAGTTATGTTGTGAGGTGAATTCTAATGCTAAACACTTCCAAGAGTCAGAGGGAGTTAGAGGGTCGATCTTTACTAGTAGCATCCAAAAGAAGAGATGAAATACTCCTTGTGGAGTGAACAGCTGAGCAGAGTTGATTGGATATCAAAAATATCCATAACTCCGTCTGGATGACAAGCGAGAGAATTACTTCGTCAGACAACGACTGCCATATGCAATGTACTTCCGTCGGAGCAAACTGAACCATTTCGGAGCAAGGTCGTAGTTTGTGCAACTTGAAAACATAGCATTCCATCAATGTTTTAAGCTAACAAGTGAGTCGTTTGCAATCTTTCTTAACCCCTCGATATGTTCAACCATCCCCGTTCCTTTGGAGTGTGATGAATTAATAAATCAATGAATAATAAATGATGAACGATTATTTCATCGTCGTATTTCATTTTCTTGTGATGCTAAAAAGGCTCTCGAGCCGCAAATTCTGGCTCCTTTTAAGTTATAATCACCTCACGTTCATTTAATGTTAAAAACAGTTAACATAATACTAAATGGTCAGTCCACGAGCGGGACTTCTTTCTTTGCTCCAAAAACACTTCTTGCTGGCATTTCTCTCAGAAAAAGTACATCATGTTCCTCGCTCCACTCCATCAGCCTACAGTGAAACAACGGGAAACGAGAGGTAAAACATAAAGCATAATTTAGATAAGAATGTAGAATCAAAGCAGCTAAAACCTTGGTCAAGTAATTTTGCTCACTTGGATTTTTGCACTTGATCATCAGATGCCGTCATATTCAGTCTGAGTCTACAGCTGTCCTTTTAAAATACAGTGAATAAAATACGTTTTATGCCAAAAGCTATTCAAGTAAATTACGAGGCCCTTAATTTATGAAAACTAAAAGGCCAGGGAAAAAAAACGATTATAGGCGGACAAAAGCCTCGTATCTACTCACGTTTTCTACTCACCGTGAGAACAAGCCTTTTGAGGTCGGCGCCGAGCCTAAACGAATTCGCGCTAAATGTACGACCTCAAACGGAAAAAAAATTCACTTCCGGGCGCCGTTGCCGTCCTGAAAAGTTTTTTTGTTAAAAGTCCCTCTTATCCCGCTCCCGGCAACCATGGGACCTCGATCTGCTTTAAGTTGAAAGCGGGCTCCTGGGTACGAGGTACTTAAAACACAATTATTTTACACGGTCTCCGTTTATTATTTGAATTGATATTCAGCTGCTGAAAAATATCGACGACGCCAGCTCAATAAACAATTCCTATTGGTAGAGTATTTAGATAAAATTGGAATGCGCGAACATGAAATTTAAACAAATCTTTCTTTTTTTCAGTTCAGAATGGTCCTGAAGTTTCCAAAAAACAAAAATTGTACTTAACAAGCAAAAGATTCGAAATGGGATAATATGGGCTCGTTGGGAAAGAATGTTAGGTGTCGCCATAAATTAAAATTTAGGCGCACAGTGAAACACGTACCCAACCCACTTCTTATAGCAATTTCTCTCTGAATTAAACCCTTTTAACTTAATTCCCAGAGAGTTAAAAGGTATTTATTTATTTATTAAGGCACCCGGTGAATATTAAGATCACTAAGAACTCACTTTAAAAAATTCAGCAATTCAGTTGACAAACTGAATTTTTGCACATTTCCAAGAACTATATCAAAGTGAAAATCAGGGTTAAACAGATTCGTCTACCTAACGTAAAAAACGAATCGCTAGACGAAAATTATCCGTAAAGAACAACATTTTGAAGTATTTGGAAACAAATTCTATATATAGAGGCACGAGCTTTGATGTTTGAAGCAAAGCGGTAAAATAACGTGCTGGTAAGAAGTTATTTCGATGCGGTTGCCCCTTCATACAGCTGCCGACAGGTATCAAGGACCAACATGTTTTTCAAACAGAAAATTCCTGCTGTTTATATGAATGAGTGAGCTTGGGCACGTGGAGAGAACCATTCTGTGCAGTGTCAACTATCTACAGTGGACTGCACTACATCTATATTCTTTTTCTTTGCCTTTTAACTGACAATTTTGTCGAATGGATTGAGGCGATAAGTAATAAGCAAAAAGAGACGCTAGAGGCGTGAATTGCCTTACGTTTTCCTTACAGCTAGCTTTTGAAAATAAAATAAAGCTACCAAACGGCCAAACCAATTAATCAAACAAAATAGAAGAAAGTTTTTGCTTATGGTAACTCAACAAAGAAGTGACAATCGGCCTGTAACGATTAACATGTGTTTAACCAGCAAAATTAAGTTACCCTTGAAAAAAGGTCCCAGTGAACTAAAAGAGATGCACAGGTGGTTAGAATTACATTTTGCTTAATAATTTTCCAGACAAGAACGAAAAAAAAATTTGAATGAGTGGTCAGTCTATGGCTTGATCACTCATCCTGAACACAAAACTTTTGTCGATACTCTAAATTGGTAATCTCGACAAGTCTCCCACGAACGGGATTCACTTACGCAGCGGTTTTACGAAACTCAACGACTTACCAGTCATGGCCATTTCTAGGACCTGCTTTTAATTTCAATGACCAGAGGTCGAGTGGTTGTTTTTAAAAAGTAAATTTGAAAAGTACGTTTCCGTTCGGGCATTCCTGCCCTTGTTGTTATCAGAAAAGATATATATATCTTATTAACCAAGCGCGAGGGCCGTACTGGGAGAATATCGGCCCGAGGTCTTGACAGTACGGCCCCAGCGCAGCGAGGTCCGTAGAAAAAAGACCGAGGGCCGATATTCTTCCAGTACGGTCCCGAGCAAGCTTGGTTACTAAGAGATTTATTATACGACTGAAGTTCAAAGGGACACAAGTGCGGTATCATTCGGGACCATTCGGGACAGTGCCCGGTCCAATACTGAGGGAATATTGACCGGCAATAGAGCATTTTGATTGGTTGATTTTAGTTATTGGCCCTCTGACTGCCCGAGTCGTGTAATAAATTCACTTATTCACTTTACACGACATAAACTAAAACTAAAAATGATCCTTTACGGGATAGCAGATCCCTGTTCAAGCACTTGAGATATAATTCAACCAAGAAATGAACTAAACAGTGGACTCAGTGTACATTGGTACAATTATTCTATCCTTTCATCTTGATTATTCATCTATTTTTATCTATTCAACCGAAAGGCTTCAATTTTCTGTTTGGCCCTGGCCAATGCACATTGGATTTGTTCTGAGCTATTTCCTGTAAGCTTCACCATGGCACTCACAATTTGACGCCTATCTCGATTTAGGCATCATGAAATCAAATGTTTTTCGGATCAGAGTGACATGGGTGCTTAAATCAAATTAAACAAGTTTACTTCTTGCATTGAACAAGCGACAGCTCCCGTTTTTCCCCCTGTCAGTATCCTGAAATGTTTTTGAGGGCGCCTAACTAAGCAAGACTAAAAAACTTCAAACGCCAATAAAACTTGGTTTGTTTAGAAGCGGGTCATACTTTCTTAAGTTCTGAAAGAGTCAGAATATGAAATGAAAATGTTTGAGAATGCAAAAAAACGCCAAATGAATTGAAAATTTTAATAAACAAAACTTTAAGAAAAATAATGGAAAACCATGGCATCGGAAACAATGAATTATTTGTTTTGAGTGACCCACTCACCAACGGGTACTTGGTAGAGTTAATATTAGCTATTATGTAGGGTTTTCTCATAACCAAAGAACGTAGAAAATTCTACTTAGACAAAATAATAACAAAGCACAAAGGATGACAATAATCCAAACGGGCACTCCTTTGATTCGAGAAGACACGCGGCAGACCAAGGGAATGCAATAAACAGACCACACAGAAATGTTTACGCCTTTCGCTTTCCAACTTACAACACACCATACTTCTCTAAGAAAAAAACATATAATTTATGTTGTTACCAACATGAATAAGTTAACCAATTGAACAAGTTTAACTGAAAACGTTCCTCGCTGAAGATGTAGGGGAAGTCGTGCGACCTGCGGCAGTGAAAATGGCGGGCGAAAGAAGGCTTTATTCGCAGACTAATCTAGAATGTAAAATCTGTCTCTAAAGTGATTAAACTACAGACCCTTCGCCAGATCGACGCCCAACCACTTATTCTTAAAACGCAAGGTCAACACGCCAATAAAATCAAATTTAAAATAACGCCCTATAACCTTTAAATTTCTGGTTTGAAAACTTGATATTTCTGAGACTCTTATTAAAGCTGCAACAAAAAACTCGAACACCAAATGGCGCATATCATTTAATGCCTGGTCAGTGATGTCACTAAACAAACGTTGTTCAGCACGTGTCTCCTTTAGTGTCTAATACGGATGATACCACGAGAATAGAATCAAATCTTCAGCTTGGAATTCAATATTGTTATCTATTGTGATCTATTTCAGATGGTCAGTTCCGGACTTAAAAAGGTGGTGCTCTGTATCATTGGTAAAATAACTTTACCTTCTTAAATAATACCGGTTATACTGGCCCGAGGTATTATCGTCAAGAGATACTAAAGCAGATATCGAGCCCCCGAGTTAAGCTGCATTTCTGAAGGCATTCACAATCCGTAATTAGCACAAAGAAAAGATCATTGTGCGAAAAAGACAAAAGAAAAAGCAATGCTATCGTCTTGAGCTTATATGGACTTCCGCGGGTGGGAAATTTGGTTCATTAAACTTACTTTGCTCTTCTTTTGAAATCCTAACGTACAATTCTTAATTTAGATCGCTATTGTAGTTGAAGATAGAATTTGTTTTTTCAGTCTTGAAAGGATCAGCTACCATAGCCTTCGGATTAAAGTGAATTAGCCATCTATACTACGTGTATAACTTTACGTATCTCTAGCCAAAGCAAATGACACATCAACAGGAATATCAAATAAACACTGTTGAAAGTAATCTTCTTGAAATTCTCTTCTATGTTTACTTGCGCCACGCTTTTAACATATTTTAAATCCCTTAAGAGATTTGATGTGTAAGGGTTTAGCTAAGAGACCCCAGCTTATACCTAGCTGCTAATTAACGTATTACATGTCTTTGTTGAGGGCATTTGGGCGGAGAATGGTGGGGCTGTGGAAAGGAAGCAAAAAATCAACTCAAGTGTAGCCTGAAATAAAGAAGGAATTCGCAGAAAACCTTTAAAAGTAAAAAAAAAAGGAAAGGGCCTCACAAAAGTTGACAGTATTCTACCTTTCGTTTTAACTAGAGACCAAGAGATGGAGCCATAGTTATTTAGTAACAGTAGGTTCGGATTTGAATGAGCTAAAAAGGTACGAGTGGAAGCTTTTAATCCTTTGTATAGAAAAATGAAAAGATATGACGCCTTTGAGTCGCGAAAAAAAAAAAAAGAGAATGACCCCAGAAGTAGGTAAAAAACCATGTTCATTATTCACCTTTACGGCAAACCATTTCAGCATGAGACTACAGGACTTCATTTTGTACTCAGAATTGCCTGGAACCAAATGAATCGGAAACAAGCATTAGTATTCGAGGCCTAAATTAAGCAAGCAATTAGCGTTTTGGGTTAAGTGACTCTTAATTCAGATGTTAATTTCAACTGGTTGTTATATTAGATACAATGAAATATATGAAGTTCATATATTTTGAACTGCGGTTTTAGATACGTATGATGCACCATCCTCGCAGTAGATAGCGATATTTAAGCAATAGCGAAAATCAGACCAGAAAAAAATCAGGCCTGTACGGGATTCGAACCACTGACCTCTGCGATACTAGTGTAGCGCTCTACCAATTGAGCTAACAAGCCAACTGAGAGCAGGCCGTTAAGTTGATTCGTAATAAACCCGTGAAAGTGATAAATCAGATACAATGAAATATATGAAGTTCATATATTTCATTATCAACTTAAATCAACTTATCGGCCTGCTCCCAGTTGGCTTGTTAGCTCAATTGGTAGAGCGCTACACTAGTATCGCAGAGGTCAGTGGTTCGAATCCCGTACAGGCCTGATTTTTTTCAGGTCTGATTTTCGCTATTGCTTAAATAGCGCTATCTACTGCGAGGATCGTGCATCATACTTATGGTTGTTATATTCTTGGAGCAACATTTGTTCGAAAGAGATGTTTACACCTAAGTGCTAAGCGTTGAGAGTTGTTTACTGTTGCCAAAACGCACCACTGCTTATAGTGACTCAGGTCTGTCAGCATACTTGCCTCATCTCATCTCAAATTGCAAAACTTCTGTTTAGTTCGTGGCATAGCGACATATTAGTTTTTCGTTTGAGGAAACCGTAAAAATTCATCGTTCATCCTAAATATAAACGTTCATTAACAAGAAACGCTTGCATGACTTCTAGTAAACACAAGCACTATAAAAACAAGTCGGTTTGAGGAAAAATAATTGTTAAATAAAGTCACCGATAGAAAACAAGGGAATCGAGGCGAATTAAATAATCTTAAAATGTTATTTTCCCATTGGTATTGGAAAACTTTCTTTGCTTTTGGCAAATAGGCTTAATAGGGTCGTGATTAATTTAAACTTATAGGTACGTACTTTATTATGTCAAATTCACATTGGCCAGACGGCGCCTGTGTCCGTTAAATTGCTCAGTCGTAAATTGGTGGGAAAACGCAAACATTTTGCTCGCAGTTACGTAAACGAACGCTCGGTAGACTAACTGTTAGCTTTTGGTAGAGGGCGGAGGACACCACTTCATACAACCAATTTCACCACCGCTAACATAATGTTTCAAGGCTACCCTGTTATAAAAGGACGAAATTAAAAGAAACAAAACACATTTTAATATCAAAAAAGCTTAAGAAGCATTAGACTCTAAGATTAGGATTACATCAGCAGAGAGCAGCTCTGCTGTCTCAGGCTTGAAAAGACAAGTGATATTGATCGTTAAGAATGTTTATGTTTACCTGCTGGTTCAAAAATATAAGCGAAGTCTCAGCTCCTAATAACGCTAACGAAAAACACCTGTAAAAACATATTTTTTTAAGCTCGTACTTAATTAATATAAATTAACGTCGCTAGAATTATTAATGTGTTCACTGCTAAGTCGATAATTCAACCTGTTCTCCTTCGCCTACGAGATAGAGTTACAAAAGGAGCCATGACTATACTCTCTGTTCATTTACGTACGCACAATACCCTCATTCGCACAGTTCCCAAGAAACCATAAGCACTGTTCTGTTCATTAGTTTCACACACAAAAAAAAAAACTTACGTAAATCTTTTTAAACTAGTCGTCTGAATGATCAAACAAGAGTCTTTCATTCGCACACTGAACGCGCAACTAAGAACTCTTCCTTGAATACGCTATAGGTCCCACATGCATCTGGATTTTAAGTCAGATCGACATCCTTCACACAATCAAGCCAAAACGGCTAACAAACGGGACAATAAACGTTGCAAAAGAGTGATAATAGCAAAAAAAAAACTGCCAAAGTGTAATTAGCTGTGTACCATCATGGTAGGGACTTCTTCCCTTTTTTCTATTATAATACAAGAACCTGCCTATCACAAAAACCAAATTTTCACACCAAGTCAATGACTCGGCAATGTGAACTTTACAAGTAATTAACTTCATGAAGAGGAATAAGCAAGCTTCTTTTTTATTACAACTCTTCGAGAAAATTATGGTCAAATTTAACGCTCACTAAGTACTAAGCTACACGAGCAATTAAAGAAGTTGTACGTCTATTCCGATAGTGGCATTAAAGGTTTTAATATAACGCCAGCTAATGTCCCACCATCTGTCGTTTAAAAATATAAGCTGGACATCTTATATTTGTATCAGACTTCTCCAAAAGCCTAAGAAAAATTTCAAGTACTTAGGTACAGCATGTTATATGATGCACAAGACAAGAGAACAAAAGAGATGTATTGAGTGGACTGATCACAGGTACACCTTGATAAAGAATCGAAGTGGTGACACGTAGCAACATAACGCGAGTACAGGTAACTTGGTGTCTCTTACAGTTATAAGTTCACTCAACTCTCAAGTTGAGAGCCGTCATAAAATCATATTCGCAGAGCATAAATTTAACGGATGTGTATGCCATTCAAAAGAAATATGATGATAACAAACCATGCTATGGCAAATTTGCCTTTTACAGCGGATGTACAAGAAGTTTCCGCGACGTTTCATTGTCCATCACCTGATTCTAAGAAAGCTCTCGAGCAATCCTTGAACATAGATACTATTGAAATCCACTTTAACAATAAACGGTGAACATTTTAATTCAAATTCGAACGATCAAAATATACACGAAACGAGAGATCAATTTTCGCTCTAAAAAAGCACATCAAACATTCCCTGAAAACCCCGTCGGCAAACAAATAAGTCTTTTATTTTGGGACTTCAAAGGATTTTGCGGAACAGGTGCAGATGCTCAGTATACAATGAAAATCTCAATCAGCCTAAATAGATAGCCTAAATATAAGGTTTCCTATTGCTTTCAAACAAATATGCAAACGGTGAAAGTTTATATGTATTTGACCAAATACTATGGCGCCAATAAATAAGTTTTAAAGCAATCAAATAAAAGGAAAAAGCTTCAGAAACCAGGTTATCTAAAGTCTCAGTTTTAATCTTTTAATCAACATCCTTGTATAATTTTCTTGTCGATAATTGTGGATTTCCATTAACATAATCAATATAAGCAAATTTAACATTTTCGAGGCTATTAATGAAACTGAACAAAGTTAATAATCTGTTTTTATCGGTGTGTTATAAATTTCCCTCGGTTCTTTTCAAACGGTATTTCTCTTAATCTATTAATTTACCTTACCTACTAAGAGAACTCTGACGCCGCTAACGTTTCTTCTCCATTAATTCTCACTGCAGAAAATTTACAATTAAACATTTAATAGGACCATAAGCTCTGGCTTTGAATGGATACACAGCTGGTTACGGCACGGACTACTTTCGGTGACAAAAGTTTTTTTTTTTCCATTTTCCTGTTTACACTAGATTTAATATAAAGTACCTTTCCGAAAAGTTAAAGCCCAAATGAATTCAAGTCGAGCTGAAATTCTTTTGCTCGTCGCAAACTGTAAATGACACAAAAAACGTCTTCGCTATTTACTCCACACAGCAAGGTGTCAAATCCAAACCATAAAATTTAAACGACCCAAAAAAAGCTTTTAACGGCCTCCCAAATTTAAATCGACTTAGATGTTTGTTAATTTTTCCTTGTAAATCATTTTAAAAACCATTCGGTGGCACAACATTTGCGCTATTATTCAAGAAAAATATACGGTAAAAAGATTCCACTTTCTAAAACAAACAAGAAAGATGTGTGCCATGTCCTTTCGTTCTCCAAAGTCAATTCGAATAAAGCGATTTCGATCTCTGATGCGACGGCGACCCATTACATTGGATCAAAAGCTTGCCAGATTTACAATTAACTACGACAAATCTCCAATTTTCCTTGACTTGTTTTATTGTACTAGTGTTATGTTGATTCTAAAGAAGCGGTAAAAAATCTAATAAAAATTTCGCTTTCATAATTACTTTCCACAAATGTATAGAAATGTTAAATGATCGAAATCGAAAGCACTTGTCCACATATAACATGTAATTTCAAGAAAAAGGCTTAATTGGTAGGCTTCAGGCTTCACGATTTCTAATCATTAGTGATAATCAAAAGCAATCTTTAGTTTCATTTGTTGCAACTTCTACCAGACGGCGTTTCAATTCTTTCTTCTGTTCGTACATATGCATGATTTTTCGAGGAAGAGAAATGTTACTGCGCGTACATCAAGGTCTCCATCGAGTACAACTTTTTTAGAAATTGATACCGATTGCATGTTGTTGTTTTTTTTTTCAGAATGAAACGTATCCCTGACTGATTAAAAAATGACATCCTTAACAATCGACTACTGACAGTTGTGTAGCTGCACCATGTTTCAGACAGATAACTAAACTTATCGACCGATACAGATCCCATAGCTCGTATAAGATAACAGTGTCATTTTAAGGGTCCACAAATAAGTGAAACACTAAAGACGATGTCTTGAGAAATGTCAAACACATTTTGTCCACACACAGACGTGACCGCAGAAGAAAACTCACAGAACACAACCAAATGTTTGAATTGACTTTCCCCTAACACTTTTGACTCTTTATCAAGCTTGACGAGAGTGAATTACCCTGCATCGGCAATTCTTATTTTCGACGTGATAGGCAAGTGTTAGATCACAGCAACATTCAGAAAAGCATGCTTCAGGCATAACTTACGAGCCTTTGGAAGGTCAAGTAGTAGCAAATACCACCGAGTTTCATTGCCAAATGAAATTGAGCCCGAGTTTCTATTACATAGTTCGTGCTTTGTTTCTCAATAGGCGTCTTCGTCAAGCCCATTAACCACACTGAAACAGCAACATCAACGCGGTAGGCGAAATATCTCCTTCATAATACTACTTTTTGTTATTTACTTATTCTGATCTAATTTCTGATCAAACCTGGTACACGAAGGGCGTTTTGAGGTAGAGAAAAGCAGAAGATATTAAGTTTTGATTCTTATCGTCGATTACAACTGATGGAATTACTGGTATTACTCAAATGAAAATAATAAAGAGAAGACAATTGAAAGAAGACTACAGGAAAAAAAGTCGCAGTTTCAAGATTTCATTAAACAACTCCATGTTCTTGGAGTGGCATCATCATACCTGAAAACCCAGTATTATTTAACTCTCACTTGGGCTAGGTCTATTAGGAAAGAAAATTGGTTTCTGAGGAAATTACAAGTTTACGATCTAGCGAAGGCCATCAGTGCTGATTGATTTCAATAAAGTGCATCGGTATATAGAGCCGTCAACTTGTTTTTCATTCACTGGGCAAAATTAAAAGGTTCAACGTTTAGTTTGTTCTGGTTTATGGGTCGTTCATTCCCATTAGCAAAGGAGTTGTCATGCATTAATTCGTCATGCCGGTAACACATTAACCTTGATGCAAGGGTGAATAGTTCATTTCTTAGGGAAAAAAATCTTCGAGCTTATATACAAGAATATACAGGGAATCATCTCGAACAAGAAATAAAGGAAATGATGTGATAAAATATAATGTCTTCCACTGATTGCTGGTGACCACAAGAGACCTACAAATGGCAGAAGTGAAAGATCTCTTACAGCCCACTACATTTCTGCTTTCATTTGCTGGCTTTGAAATTCCCAGACCGAGATCTGTAAAGAACATATATTCACTGAGAAGCTCAGAAAGTAAACTGAAAACTGTCAAATGCCCTGTATGCATTTGGTTTAGTTAAAGACAACAACCGCTTTCTAGTCAGTCTACACTTCTACGGAGCCCGTTAGAGGTCCTGCAATGATCATCTTACGGCCATCAATAAACTATCAGACAATTTTATTGTCAGGATTATCAATGTCTGGATACCTCGGTTAGCTATATTCACCAATATGATCGCCCAAGCAAGTCGATAGCGTGCTGTTCGAGGAACGTCGAGGGGTGTCAAAAACGTTCGTACATTTTAGACAATGGAACCAAAGGAAATGATCCCTAGAATATCCTATTGGATTAATCCGCTATGTTAGTGCTGTAGGAAATGGTTTTCGCGAAATTAAAATCCGAAAGACGTTTAGCTATTAAGAAATTAGTCCAAATTGATGTAATGAGCTCTGTGATTTTGATGATTCTGGAAAAGGAGAACTCCAACCATTCAGTCTCGAACTTATTCCAATAAATGCATACCATGCGATCCTATGACTAGATTGTTCTTGTTTGTGTGTAAGTGAAAGCTCGGAGTGAGGCAAATATTCAGGAATTCAAGCGACACTGAAGGGTGAAAACTACCCAAACTCAAAAAGCCGGCATAGGGCAATAATGCATATACATTCACGGTTTTCAAGCAAGATGTTGCCATCATTTGTTGTCATTTGATTTTATTCCTAACAATACCAACATAGCTTTCAGGAAAGATTCAGTCGTCGTCATTATTTTTTATCTCGGAGTAGAAAAAATGTTGAGCACTTTCATTTTACCGCTGGCAAAACACGTCCTTTCACATCCGTGAACAAGACACTGTCTTTAAGTCGCGAATGAATTTTGTAACGTTGCAACGTAATATACATCATCTCTTAAAGATGTCATTAAGGGTATCAGTTTGTTTCTTGTCTCGAATGTGAAAATTAAAAGGACAGGAAGCAGAGTGTTTGAAGAATGAACTTAAACCGCAAAACCTGATCCCTTTATTTTGTCAAACTGCCCCGAAACTCTCCTCAACTAAGGCACCGTTTCATCCTATCGCTTAAGATTTGAGATATTACTGTAACTTCTTACTAGTTGTCCTTTTCTAAGACACTTTATCTTATAACAATAAGCGTCCCAATTCATCACTTTACTGGTACTGGTGCTGATGAGCAATACCAGCTGGTATCCTCCTCGCCATTCCAGGCACAATAAACAGTAAAAACAAACAAAAACAAATAGATATCGCAAATTCTTTCTTATACTGTATCACCGAAGAGTAACTTTGACAAAAAGATTTGTTTTCAGAATCTGTGCCAAACTTACTCATTACAAAGAATCATTCAACTAGTGTACAGCCAAGGCTGTCAGTTGTCATTTACTGGCCATGTGCTACAAATACTTATTTAACAAGTGTTCAAACAATCCGAAAATGTTTTACTGTGTACCTGCTATTCTTAGCAGAACACGTGCATATGTTTAGTTTCGGAAAATCCGAGAATTCGCGTTTAGTTCAAAAGTTGCACGTAATTTTAAATTCTGAGTGTTGTTTTTCTTTTTCTGCAGGTGCAGTGACTCCTGATGTTGTTTTTCCCTAAATGCTGTTTTTGGATCTAGGCTTTTCGAGAACTTTACCACTATAATGCGACGGTTTAGTTAAGGACTGTATATTTCAGAGTATTTGCATGTGTAGCATTGGTAGCTAAGTACTTCATAAAAAAAAGTGGATTACATAACCACAACACTCTGAAATCATCTCTTTGCGTCTTAGAGTCTAAGCTGATAACGCACTGTGCCATAGAAGCACGCTAAGGTTCCAATCCGTGCAACAAAAGTTTCAAATAGCGCTATCTACTGCGAGGATCGTGCATCATACGTAAAAGTTTCTTGTTAATTCAGTACTACTCTATCAATTCACTCAATGCCACTTATACGTAATGAAAGTATTGAATATCTTTTTCACAAGTTCCACAAACATCGTGAAGTCCCTTTGAGGTGGTCATCTACATTCAACGTAAGGGCAGGTTTTTACGAGTTATTAGAACAAAAATTCCTTCCCCGACATGATTGGTACTTTTCAGGACGAGTCTTGTAGGCCGTTTGGCTCGTTGCATGTAGAAGCAATGTTCATATGATGCAGTGAAAAATCTAAGTATGACATATTTACGGTTTTCGCAAATCTATTGTATTTCTTTCAACAGGTTCGCAGGTTCAAATGGGATTGAAAGGACTAAAAAGAGAGATTACTATCAGTTTTTCAAACAGTATTTACTCAATCTTCACGGAATGAATCGAACCTATATTACTTTTCAATTTTATTACTATCCTTTGAGGAATGACATTCCAACTTACAATATAGCAGATTTAACTTTTACCGATTTTAAGTACATGTCGGACTTTTATTTTTTTTCCAACTGTGTGTCAGTTGTGACCCGACATACGTACATAAATTTGTTTTACTTTTCACAACCTTATTGGATCTTAATACATTTAAAAAAGGGCCTTTAATTTCCGCAGGACAAATAAATCTGTAAATCACATCCAATTCTGTTCCGATTTTAAGTGTTGCTCACATAAAGGGACAGATTAATTTCTCAAGCATGACAGTTTGTACAGCTAGGCTAGACCTTCGTCAACGCAAGACAATTTCAAACATTTTCATTTCTCAGGCTGATTTCTATGTATTTATCATTTTATTGTTTTTTTCTTTCTTTTCAATTCACCATTAACAGACCGCACGCAAGCTTGAATGTACTAATGTTGCATTAAAGAACTGCTAATTGCAATGCAAAAAGTCGACATGATAAAGAACCGAAACAATATCTGAAGCAAAAGTTAACTGAAAACTACACATATTAAGAGCTTTTCTTGTTTGCTTTTACTTTGAGATAACATCGGTAAAAGACCTGGTCTTGCTTTGAATTGAAGACAATATGTGACGGACGGTAATTACTGAGATTTCAGCCAAATGCGTCGCATCTGTTATGCGGCGATGAAATATAACTCAGTATGTAAATGTTGCGTGAGGATGGCTACAAAACACTTCTCCGACGAAGGCTGAAGGCGATTTTCTAAATTCATTATAGCCACTGCCCTTGTCTGAAATGGTGCGAATTTCCGAAAATAAAATTGTTTATTTCTAATATTTAAAGCGCTTTATGTACATATCGGTTTTGTTTGGTTTCGGATGTATTACTGTAAATACCTCTTTTCCGGCGCTTTTAGGTGTCATAAAAGCTTTGAGAAAGCGATAATCTAATGATACGACAGACCATCAAAGCACGAGGCGAGACATTTTCATACCCTTGACTTGAGACGATTAAATAAGGGAAACATCGCGCAGAGTTTGTCATAGTTCACTAGTTTTATTTGTACGATTTCTTTGGTAGAAGAAGTGAGAGAATTTGTAGGATTTGAACATCGATAACCTAAGATAGCTTCTTGCGTTATCTGGGGCTGTTTGGCAAATATTTGCACGTGACTGACAGATCGCCGATAAGCTTACTTAAAGTGCTTTTTTAATAAAGCCTATGTCGAGAATGTGTCACCATTCTTTGGAGTCATTGAGTTTAACCGCACCTGACCAAATCTGACCCGATATTTTCCCCAGCGTTGATAGCATATCTTCCTCAATGAAACCTTCACTTAGTTGTTATCTCTTAAATGAACCTTTGAAGCGAGATTTAAAACATCTGCTAAGTGCCCTTATCCGTAAACTACGTTTTCAAGTATGTAATCGAGGAAATAGCTTTTTTTCGATCTGAAGTTTGGCGAGACAGATTAAACGCGCGCTTTGCTGAAAGAAACTTCACTAAAAGTGAACGACAGCGCGTGAAAGCTTTCACCATTAATAGGTATAACTGAGACCATCGGGGCCTTTAGAGACCCCCACATCTGAACGCTCTTTCGAGATGACCACCATGTTTACAGTTGAGGTGTATTACACAGAGACATAATGGTAATTAACTATTGTTGGGTGGCACTCATTAAGAGTGTATTTGACCTGAGTTTGACATCTTTCATCGATAAGCACCCTCACCTCTGTGTAACGCAAAACGGTATTCCCATCCTTTGAAAGCAGTGTTTGGACGCAATTTTTAGCGAAGAAAAATAGAAATAGTAAGCAATTAACGCGCCTTTCATAAACCCTAGGGCAAAGTGCTAATCGTTATGACACGCTGTCACTTCCAGGCTGTTTCTACAAAAAGGATTTATTAGCGACTTTCTTTTTCTTCAATTTCTTTTTTCAAATGCTAATCACGTAGTCGAAAAGAGTTCGAAAAGACAACGAGTAAGTAAGAAATAGTGTCAATGGATACGAACAAAGGATTTTCCATTAAAGTAAAGCTGCAACAGCTGAATAGGACATGACACCAACGCTAAACAGCTCACTTAGCGACAGTTGAAAGAAGAAAAAAAAAGCTAACAACCTCAGGCAGAAACCCCAAACCTAACATCCAGTAAACTGGTGGGTATTATTGTCGGGTAGATTACAAGAGGACAGTAAATGCTTATTGTGTCAGAACAACTTTACTATATTCATTTTTCACTCCTTCTCTTTAAACTAATGGCGACCGAAGAAGATCGCACAATAAAACAGAAAGATGTCAGCCGCAACGTGTTGTATTTTTTTTCGTTCGCCACATAAAGACAAACAGGGCAGCCCTGTACGAAGATATCTTATGTTACAAGTTCTGCGCCCTATGCAGATTATATTTATATATTTAAACATTTACAACGTTATATCTCTGTACAACTATTCAAAATTTGACAATAAACTTAGAGTAGCTTTTTTTCGAAGTGCTCTTCTAGTTTCCCTTACATTTGTCCAGTTTTTGAGAGAGAAGGCCGGGCGCTTTAGTCTCTTGACTTCAAAAAGTCGATATTAAATAGTCGTCATCCATAGCGTCAATTTATTTTCTAAATAATCTCTCTCTGCTTCTCTTTAATTGTTCAAAAGCGTTGATTTCTACATTTTTCCTGAGAATCACTCGCCTTTGCGTAGATCGTCTGTTGATTTTGAAATCGGTGAATTTTTTAGCCCGCGAAAGTCTTCCATAGCTTTTCCCTCTGGGGAAAAGCTGCCTTTGCATTGTGAGATGTGTTGACCTTGTTGTTGGTTCATTCTGTGGAGGAAAATAATAAAATAAATCGTTAACGATTATCGAAAAACCAAAAGGATTAGATTGCTTTCACTATGAAGAAAATTGAAAGAAATCAAAGGATAATTCGAATTATTATAGGATCGCTACAGGGAGTATACATCTGTGATTTGGCTGTCGCCTGTTTGAATAGGTTCTTGAATTCAAAAGAAACAAATTCATCTTGCTCAGTTGCTCGATTAGCGTTTTTTCCAGGCGTTCCTGTTGTTTGAAGAGCAAAACCAGACATGTGGTAAGCAATAAAAATAATTTATAATGGTTTGATTGCACTACATTGGTGGCTTGCAGGTTTTCACATCGCGGATGGGGTAAAACAAAAGAAACTTTTCTCACGTCAAGCCAAACAACAGTTACTTCTCTTATGAACGGGAGAAAAAGTTAGCGATAAGCAACTCCGTATACGGCTTCATGAGTTTGAATCCTGAATTTATACAATCGGGGGAAGAAACCAAAGAGCGGACCAGAAGAAATTTTGGTTGGATCGAAGGCAGCCGGTGTCAAAAAAACGCACAGACATACTTTCAGAAAAGCTATCCTTTGCAGAACTTTAATCAAGCGATAGAAAAACCTGACTGAAACGGTTTTCTTTTTTTAAAGAATCACCTCTTTAATAAATAACCATAACTGATTTCATAAAGCCAATAATGAACAAAGGAAATCGCGTCGAGAAAACAGTGTTCGCAAGAAGTGCACGTTTCCCAAACAACGCAGAATTATCCTTTTTGTTACAATAAATATAATTCCGTTCGGATAGCAGAATGAAATATAAAAGAAAAGTCCACTGACATTACAAATTTTTTATGTTATACTAGCAAATCACACTATTCGATGAAACAGAAATCGGCTTTTTGTTTACCATAATCAGTTATTTTCGATAAAGTGACTTTAGGAAAGCAGAATTGTTGAATCTCCGACTCGAGAAAAAAGTAGATTGATGTGTTTCTTTTTGGTGATTGGGGAAACAGTTTCAAAACAAATTTTGCAAACACGAGAAAATGCTTGAAAAAAAATAAGTTTGAAAAAGTCTAGATGGTCTAAGTCAAAGTCTAAGTTCGAAGTATGCTAAATCTACAAGAGTTGCACCCTGCATTGGGACATACAGCTTAGCCTAGCGAGTAGTAATCATGGTCAAGTTTTGTCAATCAACTGAACGGAGGCCATTATCTCGGCACACTTTTCACTTGTAAGTTTTTAAATTTGGGCCTCAAAGGCCTAATGGCTTTAATGATACTTATCACTGTTGAGGCACTCAGTTTGCCAATTCTGAACTCCTAAACTAGGTGTGAATGATTTCAATTTGCGCTCGACAAAGATTTCGCGATTTTCATAACACAAGACAAGAACAGCACGCTTCCGTGGAAAATAACCAGATGATCTATTTGTTAAAAACCAACTGCCAACATGGCTTCCCACCGGATTTACATTGTGCATATGAAAGTGTTAAGACGCTGGTTTGCCACCAAACTAACAAGTTGTAAATAAAAGAGAAAACAGCGACCAGTTTGTAAACATGAGTGCTGCGGTAATACACCTTGACAGACACTGATCTGCAGGGAGGAGAAGAATTTTCGATTCTTGTATCAATAAAACGTTCAAATGAATACTTCATTAGTTCTCAAAATAGTCCTACCATACGATTTGGAGATTATTGTAACATCAAATTCATTCAAATTTATTCGCACGAAAACCCACAAAGGCAAACCGGTAAAAACGAAACGTATCCATCTGGGCCTAAATCTTACCAAAAGAACGGAGAAAAAATATCATCCTTCAAAATGTAAAGGAATGTCTAGGAATAGAAAGGGATGTTTTTCTTTTCTCGCTTTCTGTTTACAGATAATATTAGGATTTAGAAGCCAACGTTTTAAATACCGCACAATCCGCCCCGTCTGCGTCGGGCAAATGAGTTTAATTAATATTTAAAGCTTTCACGTCATTTAGCTTTAATGTTTGCTTGCTAAATGCGAAACCTTGTTATCGCCTTTTCACGTTGTAAAAGTTGATCAAAGTGTGAGAGCCTCCCACTTCACACATAATATCACTGTTTGAACGCTAAATAGATTACCTTCTTCCTTCACCTTTTCTTTATTTCTTAACTCTTCTCATATTCTTTCCGTAATCTTTTTGGTTCCCTTTTGAGAACTTTTTTGCATCTTTCGTCGTGGACGATTAAAAACAATTTCAGAAAGATAGAATTACAATTTTTGGCGAGCCACGAGCAATGTGCCCGCGCGTGAATGGAAAAGAAAACCCAATCCATTTGCTGTCCTAATGCCCCAAAATAGTTATTAGATGAAAATACGGTAAACAAATAACTAAATACAGCTCATAATCCTTGCTAAGTACCTAAGAAAATTATCAAATATTCCTTGCGAAAACAAATGACAGTAGAGTGGAATTCAAGAGATGCTACACAATTCCGGAAGATCTCAGGGGAAACGGTATCCCAATCAATTTCCTTCAATAGACGAGTGTATATAGCACGGTGATGATATGGATGAAAACCATGTGTACAATTTATAACCGATAAACTCGCGTTATTGTACACACTTTTTTCTGGCTCCAGGTCTACTGAGAACAAAGCGATGGATACTAACTCCCGTTTAGAGAAGAACGATTTGGAATAAAAGAAAACAAATGCGATTCTTTGAAACAAATAGCGATAGCTGTTCCGATCTTCTGACCACATGCCTCAATAAGATATACACACTGTCACCGAGACTGACTATCAATGGTCTTATCCATGTGGTGTAAGTTTCAGGATTAAACGTCGTTCCAGCCCATCTGTTTCACTGCAAACCGCCGAAACCAATTTAAGTAAAGTGTGGAGCTTTCTGTGTAACAGAACTAGCCAGGAATACCTCATAAATATTAGCAACGGTTGCATTTACGCTATTGAATGCGATACCTATTTGCCCGCTTCCGTATCAAGCGAGCTGAGCTGAGCCGCGATTTGAGCTTTTGGTGGCGAAAAGAGAATTCTCGTTGAGAGGATTTTCGCGTTTATGCTTGCGTACTACAGAAAAATCCACAAACGACACAGGTCGAAGACAGCGCAAAAAAGAAAATCTGTTAAGCGACATCTTCGCTAGGTTTAAGAATAAAATTTACAATTACCTGTTTTTAGCTGCTGCGGCTCGATCTCTTTGCCTTCTGTTTTTAAACCAGTTGCCAACTTGTGTCGGTGTAAGACCGGTTGCTTGCGCTAGTTCGCGCTTCTTCGTTGGATTCGGGTAAGGATCCTGAAGGTACCACTCGCGAAGCAAGCTTCTTGTCCTCTCTTTGAAACAGTGAGTTTTCTGCTCTCCGTCCCAAATTGTCCTGGGAAGAGGAAACTTCTTGCGAACGCGGTACTTATCGACAGGTCCTAACGGTCTCCCTCGAAGCCTCTCAGCCTCTTGATAGTGAGCTTCTAACCACATCGCTTGCAATTTGGCATGCGAATCTTTGCCGAAGCGATGAGTTTCCAATATGTGGTATAAGTCACGGAAATTTCCCATGTGAAATGCCACTATAGACCGCGCTCGGAGCACGCTTTCGTGTTTACTCAAGGCTTCTAACGTTCCAGGGGCCACTGGCAAGGACCACAAAAATCTGGCCAACCGCTCGATGTCACCGCTTTCTTCCAGAGTTTCGCAGACTTGTGCGATCTGTTGTGGCGTGAAGCTCAGAGCTGGAAGCGGGGCAAACATCACGCTGACTGCCTACGGATTCTCCTACTTGGTCTCCGACTATTAAGGCTAAATGCAGGGGTGTGGTAACGTCTCTGCAAAGTGTCAGTATTTATCAAGAGGGTTAGAAACATGGGGTATATTATCGCTAAGATCGAGTATTACGTCTGTTAAACTCTAGCGAGCTGATTGGCGTGCAAAGCTCTAATTACAAGGCTGTTATGGCAACCGTGTCAATCACCAACGCAAGGTGTTCTTAACTAGGTCTAAACAAATGTTCAGGGCAGATGGGACAGAAAAATATAGATATCGCGTAACGATACTCCAGGGTTTACGGCCCAAAGTGTGAAAGTAACCACGAAGAAATATTTCCTCCAGGCCAAACTTGGGGATTTGCACCGCCAAAAATTGCTTGAAGTGGGCGCTAAGAACGAAGCTCTCGATCGATCTTTCTTTGAATGCTCCCGTTATCGTTTTCACTGACAGATGCAAGACAGAAAATCACATATCGTCGTAAAAAAGCTGTACCGGGGGATGGCTTCAATGCGATTTATTCCACACCGTTAGACGAATAGAGATTCCCGAGCAGATAACAACACAACATTTCCTCAGCGCGACAAAAAATAACAATACTCATCACCTTCAATAGTTGATATAATCAAAAGTTAAACAGTGTAAGAGGCATGCACGGCTGTCTCCGATTGAAATTTAAACGCCATGAGCCTTGAGTGACATGATCGTTTATCTAGCGTATTGAGTTCGATGGATTATAGCCCAAGACTGTGCGAACAATACGTAAAATGGCACGCCTCCACATATGAATTTCCCATTATTCTCTGGCTTTCCGGACAAGTCGATTTAGCTTTAAGTCGTGATCTGCACGCTGTGCCTGGACGGTATTTCGACTGTCTTTCTGTTTTCTCGCGAGCCATGTTCTTACTAATTGAGTGACTCCTAATTGCTTTTTCCCAAGCACACACACATCGAGAAAATAAGGTTATGTATAAAACGTGAGACCCTGGCGCGACAATGCACGATTGTTATGAAAACTGATTTTTTTCTTTCTTTCGGTGACTTTGTACAGCTTCACAAACATGGCATTTCTCAATCAGCAAAGACATAATATGACTAAATCTGGCGTCTCGTTACGTCCAGTAATTATTTTTCGTGTAAAAAAAACATATAGTATTGATATCGAAGCTTATCTTTAGGTCATGCTCATCCACCGTTATGAATATAATCTTTGAATGAGATGGCCTCCTCATGATTGAGAACAGCAGTTTAAGATGGCCACGTTTATTGATAGTTCCGAGAGATGAATGCTTTTTTTTAAAAAAAAAAAAAAAAAGAAAAATGTGTCATTTGCACAATTAACATAAAATTAAGATGCGCCCTAAACTCAAGTTTGTGATTTAGTCAATTGGCAACGTGCTGGGCTCGCTGAGAGGAATCAAAAGCCTGGCATTCGTCAGGATTCGCCGAGGGCAAGGGCGCAGCTGCAAAGGGCTAAACATTAAAAACACATCACAGAAAATAAGGAATTAAAAGTAAATTGCCTAAAGAAACTAAAAAAATACACAAAGTAAATCTACAGGACTTACATCACTTCGCAGTTGGCGGGACTATTTCCTTTTCCATCTAGCAGACATGTTATCATTATTATGTTTATTTGCGAAGTTTAACTTTCTGATATATTTACGCAAAGAAATAAAACAAAAAAGCGAAAGCTCATTAGCGAACAAGCGCTCTTAGCATCAACATTGGTGAGTTCTCTTTGTGCGTTGCCACAGTCCTTGGTTTCTATTGTGAATCACTTTACAAAATCGTGTAATAGCTACGTCAGAGAAAAAGTTTTTACCTTCCCCGATATAGGCAGAAAATAGCAAATACAAGCAGTTTATTGTTTGCATGATGAGAAAGAAATATCGGCCCTTGTTCAGCTGTTTAGCAACCCGCAGTGCCTTTTACTACCCGCTACGTACCTTCCCAGATTGTCAAAACAACCATTTTATGTCGATGTAAACAATCTGAAATGAAACTCGCCGCGGATAGTACGCTTGGCTCAACAACAGATAATTACTTTGCTATTCAGGGTCGCAGTAATGTCACTTAAATAGCGGAGTCTTAGTTCGCCAGACAGCAGATTCAGATGTATAAACACCTTATTATTGTCCCTAATGATTTGCCAAATGTGTCATCTGCGAATGAAAAGTAATTAATTACGACAACGAACCTACACTAGCGCCATACTGGCATGCCAACTCAATCCAGCCATCAAAAGGTGACTGTTTTTAGACGATTCTTCGTGGCCTTTGATGATATTCGATTGGATGTTTGATTTCCCGGTACAGCCATACTGCCAACTTTTGTCTATTAGATTGAATTTATCGATCTTAAGGACTTTAAATACAACTACGGACCTTTTTCCCCCTAGAGGGAGTACTAAGAATGGCTTGGCTGACTCGAGGATTACACTTATGTCGTACATTTGTTGTCGTAGTTTAAATTAGAAATACCAAGTGAAGAAGCGTGTTCTGAGCGGGCACAATACTGCTTTAGATACTGAAACCATTTAAAAAATATTGACTCAAAACTCCAGGTAAACGCACTCAGGCATCCCAAACGAAAGAAAAAAATCACACATAAATCGTAGCAAGAACAAGCATGGCTTTTTATCAAAACTAGTATAGGAAATGAACTAGAATTCACTTAGAATTAATTTAAACTGGTGGTAAGAATTGATCGCAACAGGCAAAAAAAAAAATTAAACTTCGTAGGAGTAGCTATTGTATTGGTGTTGAGATAAAATAGGTTCTGCTTCTCATGAAAATCCGTACCTTTTTTCCTACAACACCAAATGTGAAACTTAAATGGTTTAAATGAATCACAACCTTACTTTTTTTTCAATTATAATCATATAAACTAAGAGCACATTCAGTGAGCTCATCAAAATTCCTAGGATTTAGTTGATAAAACATTGCTTCTTCATCTGGCAACTTGCCTCCTCTTTAATAGCACAAAGCAATTAAAGAACACATTGAGACGACATAACTCAAACAGTCAACCGACGAAAATCGAAACTCGGAGCAGATTGAATGGACAAACCGTGTACAGAAAAAGCACTTAGTACAACGTCACAATTAATACGCAAATTTTCAAAATGCATGCTATTGTGCTTGTGCCTTCTATCATAAATCATTCATGGTAATGTTTTCGAATTACAGTTTGGCCTCGGAAAGAGAAAATTTGAGGCCAAAAGTCAATTACTTAATGTTCAAATTAAAAGATGATGTAGTACATGAAAAAGATCTTGTTTCGCGCCAACGAAGGGTGTTCAGTTGAAGTGAGTTGTACGGAAAATGTCTGGTGAAAATTTGAAATAACGATTTAACGCGAAGGATAAATCTCGTCAAGCATGCCGCAACGGTATTTCTTGAAACTAAGGAGACGAGGCAATAAAAAAACGAAATACAGTAACTGCTAGTTTAGGATGAGATTACAAGGAGAGCTAACACGGTAAAATAAGTTCTGAAAATTCTTTCCACAATAAATCGGAAATAACAAACGTAAATCATGAACAATCCAGTGAAAAAAGTGCATTATATTGAGCAAGGTGAACCTGGCGATATGACGACATTTGAATCAAGACCTCGACAAGGCGCTTAACCGCCAATTGTCTGCTTTTCTAACTATGCTTGACCGGCTTAAAACACGCGGCAATAAATAAAAAAAAAAAAAAAAAAAAAAAATACGCTGTAACATCTATAACAAAAATTGTCGATTGGAATAAAGCAAGAATCAGCTGGGGGCGGAGAACCTTTGTCCAAAAGTGTTCGCAAAAATCTTAAATTCATCAGGACAACTTTGAGCGTTTCCCGACGCAAAACTTTGCGACATCTGTTAAAATATCTTTCGAGCATGCGATTCCTTCGCCATCTTGTAAGGAAATGTGGTTTGGTTGTTTGTTCATGAACTCTAAATCTCTCTTGTATACATACTTTTCAGTTAGTCGACTTCCGATTTCACTTAGCACTGTGGATTCATTCCACCATGCTTCAGGTGTGAAGTTTTCTCTCCAACCCACCGTGTGCTTTGATTAGAATCTAGACCGTTTACGCTGTAGTAGGACCCGTGCGCATCGAAAAAGTACGTCCAGTTACTTGACCTAATCGACTTATGTTTGGCCAACTGGTTCATCAAAGTCTTTGTTTGTACTCAAAACGGATCAAGCAACCACGCGGTTCAGTTTTCTTTCGGCGCGTACTTGCCTTAGTAGAATCAAATACAAAAAAACTCATTAGGACCTAACGCGATCATGCTTTCTTACCTTGCGTTATGAGATCTATGTCACTCTCAAGAGATCTGAACAGCAGCCGTAAGAGTAATCGTTTCAGATAACGTTTATGATTAGCTTGTGAACCGTTCACTACACTCAGTTGCTGACAATGGGCGAATGTTTTTTGGGCGTGCTATGCTACCGGGAGATAAAAGCCCCAGCTCGGGGGGTTTGCTTCTAAACAATGACTATACAAACAGACTGAGAATTAGACAAAATATCGGACACAATATCAAGCCGTTCTATTACAACTAACTACCACTTGTTACGCTCCTAATTGCTTTTACTGTCATATGTAAATGATAGGACATAATAGAGCTCCGCTTACTATTCATCGAGCGGATTATGCAATTCAATCAGCCCTTCAGCTTATCAAGCCCTTTGTGCTCAACAATGGCTCGTAATGTTAAACAACAAAAGGTTTAATGTTGTTAAGCATCCAACGTATCTAGAAGCTTTCCTATTTGCACGCCGTATCCCACTGGGAGCAGTAATATACTCCAATAAAGAACAATAAGGAACCCCTTTAAATCAAATGTCAATGCTGGTACTAATGGCTCGCACTGGCGTACCAAAAGAGTTGTTTGAATTAACATTTAAGAAGTGATACGCCCACCGTATTATCAACCAAATTTCGTCTTCTTTTAAGCCGTTACGAGCATTTCAACGGGATTAACTAAATTGCCATGAAGACCTCGCTACGATAAGAGCACACATGCAAGATTGCGACGCTTGAGCAAATCACGGCAGAATTAGCCC